TAAGACATCTGCAGGCATCTCTTCGGTAGGTAAATATTTTACTTCTATAACGTTCTCCATGACATTCTGCCTTACGAAGTGATGTCTGACGTCCATGTGCTTAGTTCTGTTGTGGAATACTGGATTCTTACTTAACAATCCTGCTCCCTGATTGTCATTGAAAATTGTTGTCGTATTCTGTTCTCCAAGTACCTCCGTCAAAAATCTTCTGACATAAATAGCTTCTTTAGTGCAATCGGAGAGCGACATATATTCTGCTTCGGTACTTGACATTGCTACAGTTCTTTGCTTTCGGGAATCCCAACTTACTGCTGCATTTGCCAATTTGAATGCATATCCCGTATACGATCTTCGGTCATCAATATTTGACCCCCAGTCTGCATCTGCGTATCCCACAAGAGATTCATTTCTTCCTTTAAATTTCAATGCATAATTTGCTGTCCCTTTTAGATAACGTAGAACTCTTTTTCCAGCGACCCAGTGTTCTTTTCCATAATTCGTGTTGTATTGACTCAGAACACTAACTGCGTGAGCGATATCCGGTCTGGTAGATGTTGCAAGATACATTAAAGATCCAACCAAATTTTGGTATGGCAGTTTTTCTACTTCTGCTTTTTCTTCTTCTGTCTTTGGACACATGTTCAGTGATAGTTTTGTGCTACAATCCAATGGTGTACTTACGGGCTTACAATCGGACATATTAAACCTCCTAAGGATTGTTTGTACATATTTCTTCTGTGACATACTTATTTCCTTTGTATTTGGATTTTGCTGAAATTCTATTCCAAGACATAAATTCAAACGTCCTAGATCCTTCATCTCAAAAGATTTGCCTAATTCTGTTATCAATTGACACCATTTTTTCTTATCATTTGTTGCCACTATCAAATCATCCACGTAAATTGTAACAATAGTATTTTTTTCTCCTTCTTTCGACAAATATATACAAGGATCTGAATCCAGTGGTTGGAGTTGTAACTCCTTCAATTTTTCATCCAGCTTTTTATACCACTGCCTACCAGACTGCTTTAGGCCATACAACGCCTTCTTCAACAAACATACTTTGTTACCTTTGTACTTTTTCAATTCAGATTCTTCCAATATGTACTCCAATTCATCGGGTACTTTCATATAAATTGTTTCATCAACTTCGCCATTCAAATACGCTGTAACGAAGTCGAAGCTATAGCCATCACTAAACGAATAGAACCCATCCTGGCTACAGGGGCAAACGTTTCATTAAAGTCTATGCCAGGTATTTGGGTAAAACCTTTTGCTACAAGACGAGCTTTATAACGGTCAATACTTCCATTGGGTTTATACTTCTTCCTTAATACCCATTTTGCATCAATTATTTTCTTTCCGTTTGGTCTATCTACTACTTCCCATGTATTATTCTTTCGCAGTGCATCATATTCCATTTTCATAGCTTTTCTCCATTCTTCAGATTCACAGCTATTTATTGCTTCCGCTACTGTCACTGGATCATTTTCGTCTATTAAACTTGCGACATTGATTTCCTGTTCATCATCCTTTTGTGTCTCATGAAAAATCTTTCTTGGCCTTCCTTTATTCCCAGTTAGTAATTTTTTCGGCCTTCCTGGACCTCTTTTCGGGGCTATTGGGGTATGGAATTCTTCCATTTCTTCATCCTCGGATATTGCTTCCCCTGGAATATTGATTTCTGGCATTCCTTCTTCTTCTAATTCCTTATCTTCATTAGAATTATTTTCTCGAATTTTGTTTTCTAAACTTGTACCTTGAGTGGGAATAAACGTGTCATCTTCTTGTTCCAACTCATCGTCGATAAAATCGCAGTAATTGTTTTCCGGTTGGTACGTATTTGTAAACTTTACATCTCGCGAACAAAATACTTCTCGGCGTTGAGGATCCCATAATCTATATGCCTTTGACTTTACGGAATAACCAATGAAAATACATTTGTTGGACTTTGGATCAAATTTCCCACGACGTCTTGACTTTTCTAACATATATGCTGTGGTACCAAACTTTTGAAAATAACTCACCACAGGCTTACGATTTGTCCAAATTTTAAAAGGAATTTCTCCATTAAGGCTTCTTGAAGGACATCTGTTTCGTATATGATTCGCTGTATGAACAGCTTCCGCCCAGAAGCTCGGGGCAACACCAGATTGAATCATCATACATCGAGCCATTTCGACTAATGTTCGATTCTTCCGCTCAGCCACTCCGTTTTGCTGAGGCGTGTATGCAACGGTAAACTCATGTTTTATACCTTCCTTTTTCATATAATTCTTGAACTCATTATTGGTATATTCTGTCCCGTTATCTGATCTTAAAGTCTTTATTTTCTGCCCAGTTCGTTTTTCCACCATTCTTTGATATTCCTTGAACTTTTCTAGCACTTCTGATTTCTTCTTTAGAAAATATATTTCGCACCATTTTGATTTGTCGTCAATAAACGTCAAAAAGTAACGACTTCCTCCGTGCGAATTCACCCTCATAGGGCCACATACATCGGTGTGAACTAACTCTAACAATTCCGATGAGTTCCTTGTCGATCTGGGGAATGGGGCTTGAACTTGCTTCCCCTTAATACATGTCTCGCACACCTGTAGTTTTGCATTAGTATCGAAATATACACCATTTACCTTTTTATTCCGAATTACATCTTTCAAATCATTCTCGTTGAGATGTCCGAAACGTTCGTGCCAGTCTTTTAAACACATTTCTTCAGCTGATCTGCAATTTTCTTCACGCTCTTCTTCGACGTAGTATAAATTCCTGTTTCTTTTCGCTTTTAGAAGCGTTTCCTTGGTTTTTGGATTAACCACTACCGCCATATCCTTGAAAAATGTCACTTGAAAACCCCTATCTGTCATTTTTGCAACAGATAATAAATTTGAACGTAGATCTGGTACATACAGAGTATTCTCTAATCTGGCAGTGCAGCCACCTCTTGATTTTAATTTGACAACTCCTGTTCCATTAATCTTTGTTGAGTCATTGTTTGCCAAATGCAAAACTTCTGTACCAGCATCTCCGATGGTGCAAAATTTACCTCTATCAGAACACATATGCGATGAGGCACCTGAATCCAAACACCATAGTTCTCTTTCCGCATTTGCCACCATCGATATTTGAGCACTTCTCGTTTCCTGTTTCTTTTGGTCTCCATCTATATTCTTGCTTACATTTCTCAATCTGCAGTCCCTGGCTTTATGTCCTACCTTTCCGCACGAATAACATTTGAATTTAAATTTTGATCCACTTACGTTCCTGGTTTCCTTCCGATCAAAAGTCTTTGCAGTTTTCTTCGCAAACATTGCATCCGTTGGTTCTTCTTTTTCATTTCTTTTTCTGGCTTCGTATTCTTCCAATAATTTTACTTTTAAAGTTTCTGGATCAGGCAATTTTTCCTGCGTTTCAATCGCAATTCTAAACGATTCATATTCCTCTGGAATGCTATACAGCAACAATATTGTGAGCAAATCATCTATGATTTCTAAATCCATTTCGTTTATTTTATCCACAATATCGAAAAACTTCCTTATATGGTCTCTTACATCCTCTCCGTTCTTCATTTTTAACAAAATCAACGATTTCAGCAGCATAGCCTTTCGAGCAGGACCCTTGGACTGATAAATGCTATGCAATTTATCCCATACATCCTTCGATGTATTGCAGTTTTTAATTTGCTTCAGTTCCGTAGGGGAAATAGACAAAATCAAATCCGATTTGGCTTTTCCATCTTCAGAGATCCATTCGTTCACCTTTTCCGGAGGCGAACTTGGCTTCGGGAAACTTCCATTTACATATTTCCATGCATTATTCTTTATTAATAATGCCTCCACCTGGATTTTCCACGTATCGAAATTCTCCTTTCCAAGCGGCTCAATTTTCACATTCGTATAGCTCATATTTGCACAGAATTTCCTTTATTCACTTCAATATGGCGCTGTGGATGGGTGCTGGGCCCATAACCTGTGATAATTTGAGGAGTCCGAGGAATAAAACACCAACCAACGGTTAATTTTAGAGGAATAAGTTTTATTAATAACAAACGTAAAACTGACTTCGACTGACTTCAAAAACTAACCTAACCGAAAAACATAAATGTGTGTATATACTTTTTCTTTCTTCAATGCATACACAATGCAAAGCCTTCTATGTTAAATATGTAAATATTCAATTACAGTAGAAATGTACAAAGTATTGTTTTGCCATTTACAACAGTAACAATATGTTTTCAAGGTCTAATTATAGGCGTGGTTATTTTTTAAGATTTTTTTTTCAAGGGCCAACTATATGCGGGGTTATTTTAAAGAATATTTCTTCGTTGGTTATCTCCACTATTATTCACTTACTTGTAACCAATATCCTTAAATTTCTTTTTGTTCACATGAAACTGTTGTATATCCTGGACGAATTTCGAACATTGTTCAAATTTTGAACATTCCGGTGTTACGGTATGATGAATGACGACACGTTTAATCGGTATGGGACGATAGATGACATTATCTGTAGTTTTACTACCCCATTGATGACGCCATTTTATTTCAGGGCAATCAGGCGTGAAATGCATTGACGTATTACAATTGCAATCGGCCCGACAATTGGAAATTGCAAAAAATACAACGATAACGAAAGTAAAAAGCCGCACGATTGAGAACATCTCTAAAGAATATCGAAGACTTAACTGCATTCAAATTGTGCAGTGAATGCAATATTTATAGAAGTGATAATTTTTAATATTTTTTTTGCAATATCATTTTGAGCGGAGATGCCATTAATCATAATAACGAATGAGTAGAAAGTCATTGTCTTCGAAGTATTTGAGATTTTCAAAGAAATATTTAAGATGGTATTTACTATCATTATTAATACTAAACATGTTGCAAGGGGAATTTAATAAAAACTATAGGGTATTCCCTCTAATAAAAATTAAAAAAAAAAATAATTAAAAAATATTCAAATTTATTTATTGAGGACTAATTTTATTATATGCATATTCTCTTCTATTTATTCTTTCCCGCATGTGCTGACCAATGATCCCATTCCTGTATTTCATTGTACAATGTCAAACCCGGACTTTTTGTGGATGAGACTTGTGTGGCGCCCAATAATTCATAATGCGGATCCAATGCCCCTTTGGCAACACCACATGCCAAAAGTTCTTTTGCTGCCTTCAAGGCTTTGCGATTTGGCAATTTTTCTGCAAATGCAAATTTTATTTAAGACATTTTGTTTAAAAATTCTTTCAAATGTCAGTATTCTTACCCATAAAATTACCAATAAAACCAATACCAATGCCATTTTGATTATAACCATATGTATGGGCACCTCTGACATACCAGCCAGTACCCTCGTAGATTACACCATCATTTCCAATAAGGAAGCTGTAAATGGAAGGAAACAAATAATTTTAAAGAATATTTTTCAAGTATCTGCAAAAATATTTTGTAAAAATTCTCGCCTTAATTGGAAAAATATTCTTTAAAAAACGCCTATATTTGGTCCTTGAAAAAATATTTTTTAAAAATCCACGCCTCTTGTTAGTTGGTCCTTGAAAAAATATTTTTTAAAAATCCCCGCCTATTGTTAGTTGGTCCTTGAAAAAATATTTTTTAAAAATCCACGCCTATTGTTAGTTGGTCCTTGAAAAAATATTTTTTAAAAATCCACGCCTATTGTTAGTTGGTCCTTGAAAAAATATTTTTTAAAAATCCACGCCTATATTTGGTCCTTGAAAAAAATATTTTTTAAAAATCCACGCCTATATTTGGTCCTTGAAAAAAATATTTTTTAAAAATCCACGCCAATATTTGGTCCTTGAAAAAATATTTTTTAAGAATCCACGCCTATTGTTAGTTGGTCCTTGAAAAAAATATTCTTTAAAAATCCACGCCTATTGTTAGTTGGTCCTTGAAAAAAATATTCTTTAAAAATCCACGCTTATTGTTAGTTGGTCCTTGAAAAAAATATTCTTTAAAAATCCACGCCTATTGTTAGTTGGTCCTTGAAAAAAATATTCTTTAAGAATCCACGCCTATTGTTAGTTGGTCCTTGAAAAAAATATTCTTTAAAAATCCACGCCTATTGTTACTTGGTCCTTGAAGAAAATATTCTTTAAAAATCCACGCCTATATTTGGTCCTTGAAGAAAATATTCTTTAAAAATCCACGCCTATTGTTAGTTGGTCCTTGAAAAAATATTCTTTAAAAATCCACGCCTATTGTTAGTTGGTCCTTGAAAAAAATATTCTTTAAAAATCCACGCCTATTGTTAGTGAAAAAAATATTCTTTAAAAATCCACGCCTATTGTTAGTGAAAAAAATATTCTTTAAAAATCCACGCCTATTGTTAGTGAAAAAAATATTCTTTAAAAATCCACGCCTATTGTTAGTTGGTCCTTGAAAAAAATATTCTTTAAAAATCCACGCCTATTGTTAGTTGGTCCTTGAAAAAAATATTCTTTAAAAATCCACGCCTATTGTTAGTTGGTCCTTGAAAAAAATATTCTTTAAAAATCCACGCCTATTGTTAGTTGGTCCTTGAAAAAAATATTCTTTAAAAATCCACGCCTATTGTTAGTTGGTCCTTGAAAAAAATATTCTTTAAAAATCCACGCCTATTGTTAGTTGGTCCTTGAAAAAAATATTCTTTAAAAATCCACGCCTATATTTGGTCCATGAAAAAACTATTCTTTAAAAATCCACGCCTATATTTGGTCCTTGAAAACAATATTCATTAAAAATATAGTTCGTCGACACACACACTCACTTGTATGCAATGTCATCAAAATCCGACACACTCATATGATGATGTTGCATATTTTGTAAAATTTCGGCACACTCCAAAAATTTAAAACATTCCTTTGTTACCGTGTGATGGATAATTACATATTTCACCGGAACGGGACGGTAATTGATGATTGTGCTCGGTTTACCACCCCATTGACGTTTGAGTTTGATACGCGGACAATTGTTGGAATTCGAATCGTCACTAGCCTCAATCAAAATTTGAGAGAAACTCAAAATAAGACCGACCAACACTATAGAGAATTTCCACATTTTTTGTTTTTATTTAACAAAGAACAAATAAAACGCCCAAGGATGTTTGTCAGGCAAAGACCGAAGAATAACTAAAATAAAATTCTGGATTAGTGTGAGTTTTATATGGGGCAGAGATGGGAACATGTCTGTGTTTCATGTAAAGAACATCTTACTCATTCATAATTCTTGTTACCTTTTTTGTTGTTGTTATTATTATTAGTTATTGTTTGATGCAAAACTGAAGACTGGTTTGCCACTGACCACATCTTGGTAACGACTAAGCCCAGTTCGATTTTTTTTTTCATTTAGTGTTTGGTTAATTAGATTTAGGCACATAACGTTTTGCGGTTTAGCTTATTCATATAGATTTCTTCATCTTCCCTCACTCTTCCTAATGCACTAATTAACATGTCACTGACTTCGGTACCCCAGGTGAATCCCCATCATGTGAATTACAACAACGAGTTTCCATATGGTAATTGTAACCATTTGCATTTCTAAAAAATATTTTTTTAAGGGCCAACTATAGGCGTGGATTTTTAAAGAATATATTTTCAAGGACCAACTATAAGTAGAGATTAAGAAAAAAACTTCAAGGACGAAGAACAGGGGAACATTTTTAATTTTTTTTTCAACGAACAACTATAAGCATGTATTTTCGAGCACCAATTATAGGCGTGGATCTTAAAAACATATAATAAAATAAAATAAATTTTTCAACAACGTATTTTTTGCTGCACATTTTTTCTTGATACTGTAGCTGTTAATTCTGTAGCTTCGAAATATTCTAATGGTGAATTACTAACTTCGTAAGTGGTGGCTAAAACGATATATAGATGGCGCAACTAAGCTTAGACAAATACATACATAGTGGATTCATAAAATTCACCACAGCTCATCATAGCCAAGAAATAAACCTCGACAACAATTAGAGTTCCGATTTTACTCGTCAGGTCGTGTATTTTAGATTTAGAAGTGAAAAAGTGAAGTCATGTGTGGTTCACATTTTTATACCCTCCACCATAGTATGGAGGGTATATTAATTTGGTTTTTCCGTTTGTAACTCATCGAAATAATCATTTCCGACCCTATAAAGTATATATATATATATTCTTTATCAGCGTAAAATTCTAAGACGATCTAAGCATGTCCGTCTGTCCGTCTGTTGTAATCACTCTAGCGTCTAAACGAGTTGAGATAGATCGCCAAAATTCACAGAGTCGTCTTTTGTCTGCAGGCAGGTCAAGTTCGAAGATGGGATATATCGGTCCATGTTTAGGCATAGCTCCCATATAAGGGTATTCCCCAATTTTCAGTATTTTGGGGGTTTTGATCGTAGTTTTCCACCGAATTCGCTGAAATTTGGTATATTGAGTAGTTATTGGGTACCCAATTTCTCCACAAAAAATTATACATATAAGTCCATTTTTTCTGGTAGCTCCCATATAATGGTACCCTCTAATTTTCAGTATTTTGGGGGTTTTGATCGTAGTTTTCAACCGAATTGGCTGTAATTTTGTACTTAGAGTTCTTATTGAGTAGCAAATCTCTCCACTAAAAAATATAAAAATATAGGATACCCCCAAAATGTCGGTATTTTGGGGTTCTTGAGCGTGTTTTCAACCGAATTCGCTGAAATTTGGTACATTGAGTTCTTATTGGGTAGCAAATCTCTCCACTAAAAATTATAAATAGGGGTCCATTTTTTCTGGTAGCCCCCTTATGAGGGTACCCCCTAAATGTCGGTATTTTGGGGTTCTTGAGCGCGTTTTTCAACCGAACTCGCTGAAATTTGGTACATTTGGTTCTTATTGTGTGCCAAATATCTCCCCTAAAAATTATAAATATAGGTCTAATTTTTCTGGTAGCCCCCATATAGGGATACCCCCAATTTTCGCTATTTTGAGGTTCTTGAGCACGTTTTTCAACCGAATTCGCTGAAATATGGTATTTTGTTGTCGTATATGGTAACAAATTTCCCTACAAAAAATTATCAATATTCACCCCCTTTTTGGGGTAACCCCCATATAACCCCCTTTTTTATACTAAAATAGTTATGCAGTTAGTTATGCATTTCACCTGCGGAGGATAGCGAGATAAAAAATTAGAACGTAAGGTTCTATAATGAACTATAGCCGCATTTAGACCTAGCCCCTGTATGGAGGTTTCAGAAGGAGTGGACCGATATTCCCCATCTTCGAATTTGAATTCTCAATTAAAATTTTCTGAAATTTGTATTATGGTTTACATGATCCGTTTTTAGACATGTCGGTATAGGTCCACATTTTGGTATGTTCCCTATATTTTAATTTCTAGTACCTGCCAGTATATCTCATTTGAATTTGCTCTTATATGATCGATTTTAAGTATTTAGATTTTGAACCTCATGTTGTGGGTTCAAAAAATATTTTTTCATTGAACAAGGAGTCACTATAGGTGCGGATTTTTAAACGAATAATTTTCCAGGGTCACCACATGCGCGTATTTTCAAAGAATATTTTTTTAAGCGTCGCCAGAAGCGTGGATTTTTAAAGAATATTTTTTCACCCATAAGAAATATAAAAAATGGACTGCGGCTTCGGGTTAGTTGCCCACACTCGGAAAACCACTCCTACTATGAAAAAGCAAAGAAAAAGAAAACCAAACCCCCCTAATGTTGACGACTCCCGCAATCGTATAAAGAACCACGATCTGCGAATCTGCACCTGGAATGTGCGCACGTTGTACAGAACAGGCGCAGTGTTCGCTTTGGCGGATGTACTCAAGAAGTACAAAGCCGATATTATTGCCTTACAGGAAATGCGATGGAATGGGACTGGCGTAAGTAAATCAGATGATTACGCCCTGTATTTTAGTTGTCATGAAACGAGACATGAATTTGGCTGCGGATTTATGGTTAACAGAAGAATAAAATACCTCGTCTCCAGATTCACTCCAGTAGATGAGCGAATTGCTATAATCCGCATAAAAGCGAAGTTCTTCTACATTAGTCTTATTTGCGCCCATGCTCCGACCGAAGACAAAGATGAGCAGATCAATGACATATTTTATGAGCGCCTATAAACAGCATATGAACGCTGCGCTGGCCATGACATTAAAATTCTGCTAGGAGATTTTAATGCAAAAAGTCGGAAGGGAAAATATCTTTGGCCCCACCGTCGGAAAATTAAGCCTTCAGGAAGAAACATCCGACAAGGGCATGAGGATGATTGACTTCGCGGCAGCAAAAAACATGGTAGTTAGCAGCATTAGATTCAAGCATCTCGATATACACAAGGCCACCTGGATTTCTCCTGATCAAGCAACGAGAAATCAACTTGATCATTTTGTGATAGACGGAAGGCATTCATCCAGTGTATTAGACGTTCGATCGATCCGAGGAGAGAATATCGATTCGGACCACTACCTTGTAGCAACCAAGTTTCGCACTCGTCTTAATCTTGCAGCAAAGGTGCGATCTAATACAACACGGAAACTCGAAGTCAAAAAGCTGCAAACACAACAGGTAGCCGAGGCCAACTCCGCTCAACTTACCCACCTGCTTGATGAAAGCACTTCCTGTCCCGATAATAGTATAGAAGCACATTGGTAAAGAATTTCCCACTCTCTACAAACTGCAGCAAAAGCAACACTTGGGTACCAAAAACCACCACCGAGAAACCCATAGCACGATCAGGCGTGTCTAATGCTACTGATATGAAAAAAACGCAGCGTATAGGGCAACCCTAGAGACAGTAGCAACACGTAATATGATGGAGAATTATCGGCAAAAAAGGAGAGAGGAGCAGGGATGGTCCGTATGACGAATTTTTAGGTTTTCGACTGTCAAAAAGGTGTAAACGTCGAAAACGTCATATACCTATATAAAATGTAGTAAATGTAGAAAACGTAATTTATTCGAATATTATTACCATATACCGTTATTTTCAAAACTGCATATTAGTTTTACATATATCTGTCTGTTCCTTACTAGAATTAATACAAAATTCTAAACTTTTTTTTAGAAAATTTTTTTGAAATTTTATATGGATTTCAGTAAAGCATACGTAATTTCCAAATTCACTAATGGAAATAGGTATTTTGTCAAAAACCTAATGGTTTTGGGTGGGTTTCCGACGTTTCTGACGTATGTAATATACGTCGAAAATGTATGTCATTTACGTCACTATTTCTGACGGACCATCTATGGAGAGGAGAAACATGTTTTCAGAAAAAGAAGAAAGAACAGGAAAAACGTGAACGTGAGAAAATCGAGATGTACAGTAGTAAGAATGAAGTCCGGAAATTTTACCGGAAATTTTTACCGAAATATCAAATAGTTGCGGTGAAGAGGATACCCCAGAACCAATAACAGATGGTATAGAATGTATACCACCTAGCCAAGATGAGATCAGAATAGCAATCAATCGGCCGAAGAATAATAAAGCAGCAGGTGCCGATGGTTTACAAGCCGAACTATTGAAGACTGGTGATCAGATGGTGGTAAGGAGCATGCACTAGCTTATTAGTACACTTTGACTAGAGGAAAGCATGCCCAATGATTGGAACCTCAGCATCCTGTGTCCCGTGCACAAAAAAGAAGACAAGACGATATGTGCTAACTATAGAGGAATTAGCCTTCTTCCCGTCGCATATAAAGTGCTATACAGTGTGCTGTGTGAACGATTGAAGCCAATGGTCAATGCCATTATTGGACCATACCAATGTGGCTTCAGACCTGGCAAATCCACCATTGACCAGATTTTCACTCTGCGCCAAATCCTGGAAAAGACCCACGAAAAACACATCGACACATACCACCTATTCGTCGACTATAAAGCTGCATTCGACAGCCCTATCCGTTCAGAGGTGTTTAAAGACATGTCTGCGTTTGACATTCCTGCAAAATTAATTCGGCTATGCAGAATAACTTTAAGTGGCACAAGGTCATCAGTTAAAGTCGGAAAGGACCTATCGGAGCCCTTCAATACAGAACGAGGATTCAGAAAAGGTGACAGTTTGTCGTGTGATCTTTTTAA